ATCAGTTCCTAATATGACCCCAAACCCACAGTGTCTTGTGATTTTGCCCTCTATAATCTGTAACCTACGTGCCACTGGGGAGCCGGGTCTTTCAGGGCTGGAGCTTGCCTACATTCCAGAGTAGCCAGTCCTACAATAAAATACTTCCTTTTTTCATTGCCAGCCCCTGCTCCTGCATTTCACTGGGTGAGTTTGCACTGGTGGACAGACTCAAATACTGGGGTTTGCTACCATTTGTGGCTATGTGGGTTTCTCAGCCTGCTTCCTGCCTGTAGAAAGCTGGAGACTCAGAGGCTTTTTTTGTGGTTTAAACAATCTCTATCCCTTTGAGTCTAAGTTGAAGGCCTTTATGGTGGTACAATTTCTTTGAAAACTTTATGTACTTTTTATGTGCTAGATTATAGTCCAAAATGCTACACTCACAGTTCTTTTCTAGATAGGCCCCTTTCTTCAGATTTCTTTCATATTTTGGATGAACTTTCAATGAGACTATGTTCTTAAGATTCTTAGAAACTCTCTTCTGTAATTGAGGAGTGCACCATGTGCCAGTTTAAATCTTTCAGAGGTCTTAAAAAAGGGGCTTATAGCCACATCTTTGATTTGATTTTGGGCTTTAACCCTCTTTTTGAGAATTCTTAAATCATTGGGGAGATTGAGGAAGAGAAAAACTTTCGTTTTCCAATGCAGCAAGTTGAGGCTGCCTTATGTTCATTTTTAATTGTGCTTACAAACCAGCAGTTTTTTCTTACACTACTGCCCCCTCTCTCTCTCTCTTCATCTCTCTCTCTCTCCCTTCTTTATCATAGGCCTCAAAACAAAACAAAACAAAAAAATGAAAACTTACTCACACTGTCCACATTCTGCCTGAAAATCAACTTACCAGGTCCACAAGTACCTTATCTATCTTCCAAGTTACTGCAGGCAAGAAGACAGCTATGCCAACTGTTTTTCTGTTTTATAGCTTGGGTTGCCATTTTTCCAGGTGGCTACTGCAGTTTTCTTGCCATTTTTCTAGCCACTACCCACAGCTGAATTTCAAAACCAATGCTGCCCATTTTTAGTTTTTGTCCCCACTCCTTAGAACCAGTATCAGTCCCCCCTCCTTAGAACCAGTATTAGTTTGTTTATACTATGTAACAAACCCCCCAAACTTAGTGCTTAGAACATACATATAGTTTATGAGTCTTAGGAGGTCTGGGTAGCATTTCTGGCCTGGAGTAGCTGATCTCTGCTGGGCTCTCTCTAGTATTTGCAATGAGCTGGCAGGGCAGCAGGCAGCTGGGTGATCTAGGATGGCTTCCTCCCTACGTCTGACACCTGGCAGGTTTCTCCACTGGCAGCTGTGCCCCTCAGCTCTTACGGACCTAAGAACAACAAGAGAGGACAAACCCTAATGTGCAATTATATTTAAGTTTCTGCTTATTTTACATTTTCTATTTCCCATTGACCAAAGCAAGTCAGAGTCACTTGGCTAAACCCAGCAGCAGTGTAAGAGGGCATAACCAGAGGCATGGATATGAGAAACCATGAACAAAGTGGGGCCATTACTACTACAATCTACAACACATAGTTTCCTGAAACTATACATCGTCACTCTATATTCACTGATCAGGCATTGTTTCCAAAGAATGATTGTAGGGCCAGGGACTGAGTTAAATGAAGTTTTTCATTGTAGTCATGCATTTTATAGAAACTAGCCCTTTTCTTTCCCTCCTGCCCTGTCCCAGTATAAAGGGCTTGGCTTTAAACAAAGTCATCTAGATAGACTTTTTTAAATAGAGAGAATATTCTCTGTGGATCTTGAGTATATTTTTCCAACAGAAAGCTTTAAGCCTGGGTCATCTTTGTCTATCAGAAGAGTTGTAATAATGCTGAACCTCAAAAAGAAAAAAGGCCTGGATTTTAATTTCTTTCTTTCTAGGAGGAAAAAAAAAGGCCCCCATGCAAGTTTTCCGGACCACTGATTGATTCTTCACTCTTAGTCATTGTCTCTCCTGCAAAAAGAATTTAAATTCTGCTTCATCAGTGCCTTGAAGTAAATTGAGACACATACATCCTCCAATACACGTGCACATGCCCGCACCCAAAATGCACACACTCTAATAACAGAAACACGAATATGAGCAGTGGGCATGATTCTGCCTCAACACTGAGACTCACTAAAACTCACGAAAAATTCAGTTTGCATTTTCTGAGCAGTCACACACTTTCACCTACAAAAGGACAGTATGCTTAGTGGTTAGTAACATGGGCTCTAGAGTCAGACTGCCAGAGTTGAGTCTCAGCCCTGCCCTTTATTGATTCTGTGGCCTTGGGTACATTAAGTAACTATTCTGTGCCCAAGTTCCCTCATTTGTAAAATGCTGATAATAATAGCCTCTTCCTCCTGAAGTTGTTCTGGGGAGTTACAAGATGTTTGCAGAGAACTTGCCATGTGTAGGTTCTCAATAAAGAAGAGTAAATGCCCTTAGTCATCTAACTGGGGACTGGGAAGGGCCCAGGGTCTCAGCAGGGCAGTTGAGACATAATACTAGTCTTTCCTGCTGAGGTAGATGGCTGGGAGGATCCTCTTTTTCTCAATACTAAGACAAGTTTCCTAATAGCTGCGTTATTTGTCAAGATTTTGGAGAACCCATGCTGAGCCTTGAGGCCTGAGCCAGAAACTCAGCTGTCACAGTTCTTTGCCTTCTATCACAGACACCTAGGAGGCTGCAAAACTAATGACAGAAACTTCTCATGGGTCGTTTCTGAACTGCAGTTCATTTGTCTCACTGAGAGTTGTAATAGATTCAGCACCCCTTTTCAGAAAAGCCTCCTGTGTGACAGGCAGAGTTAATGCTCGTTTTATTTCACAAAACCTCATTTGCTTACTAAGTGCCAAGCCTAATTCCAACCATTTTATAAATATCAACTTACTCAATCTTCAAAATAACCTTATAGAATAGGTTCAATTGTTGTCTCCATTTTAGAGATGGGAAAACTGAGGCACGGGCAGTTCAAATAATGTGCCCAAGGTGAGCTAGTGGAGTGGCAGAGCCAGGACTCAAAGCCAGTCAGTCTGGGGCAGAAGCCATGCTTTTAACTATTAACCTGTGCTGACTTTCTCAATGGCACGTTATTGTTTGTTAAACAATTCTTTTGTGTTCGAGCCCAGCAAAGGTCTCATCATTCATTGTCTCATTTAATCTTTCAAAAGGGATTAGTACCCCCATTTTCTAGATGAGGAGACTGAAGCTGATTGAGTGTCAGTGGCTGGGCCAAGCTCCCATAGGTGACTAGGACCAGAGCAGTACCTGTTGTCATGAGGCCCACACTATCTCACCACCCAAAGAAATACTTGATAACTAAGAAAAGCCATAAAACATGTTTTTGCTCCAAGTGCAAAACATACCACTATTGTCTCTGCTTTTTCATGGTTTTGACTAAATCACACTAAACTTAATTTCCAGGAAAATTCATTTAATAAAAATATTAAAATAGTAGAATAAGCACATTTTACATTTATTATTCATTCATTCATCCCACAAATTTTTGATTAGAGTCCGCTCTATGCCAGGTGCTGCTTGTGTCTGGTCAGATTGATGTGCCACAGGACACACAAGTTGCAGAGCCTTTTTGCTTAATGGTGATTACAAATGTGGCTCCTAAGACACACGCCTCTGGCATTACAGCCTTAGTTCATTCTTTCCCAACACATGTTTGCAGTTGTGGCCTTATTCAGGACAATCATTGGCTCCAGACTCCTAAAGGACACGTGTCAGATGGGGTGAGTGAAGTTCTCACTGAATTTCAAAGAGCTTTGGTTGATACCTGCTAGGAAAATTTACTTTGCCCACTCAGGCTGCTATGCTATAAATCCCTATCCTGGAGCCAATTGCAAATTTTGTAGGCATTTAAATTTGCTGTCCACTTCTGGAGAATAATTACAGCTATTTAATTGTATTCATAATTTAGCATATACCTGAAAAATATGCTGTGAAATATCAGAGGGATCCTTTAATCCTGGTGTTCCATTTACAAACTGTCACATTTATAAAGCATCTTTAATCTTCTAGGGTCTGCTGGAATTTTTTATTACAGTCTGCTTTGTGCTTTAAATATTAAAGATTCAGCAATACTTCAAAAGGTGATAATGCCTGATGCTCTGATGGAGCTTAAACCTCACCAGCTAAATATATTGAGGAATGTTCAGTGGCCCTGGCTTAATTAAACATGCATGTATATTTTCAAATACAATATTTTTCTGCTGGTTAGGTTTCTGACAAACCTCCAAACAGGTCCATGTGGAACAAAGCATGTAAACAGCCTTGTGAGTGAAGCTTAAAGCACTCAAATTAGCACCTTCCCTCGATTAATATGCAAACCTCAGAATCTCTGCATTTGATAATGTCATTGAATACTATTTGCAGCTTAACAGTGAATCTTTGTCATTTCATTTTTCTCAAACATGTCCAGTTTAATTATGTGAAAAAAACACTGGTGCCGGGTATTTTAGCCAATGAGATGGTATTTGTTCTCAGTAACTTACTCATCTCTGGAACATGGCATACATTAGAAGGCAGTGGCAGGCTTTAAACATACCATTTGTTTTCATTATATAGCACTTAAAAGGTACCCTTCTTCTCATTCGGCCTGCCATGTTAACACTGTCAGAGCTCTCATGGGCCTTAAGACCAAATTACCTGTGGCTGTGGCTACTTGAAAATTACTTAAACAGGTTTCACAATTTAAAAAAGTGCATCAGTGCAAGAATCTATGTATTTAATTGTTGACACTAACACAGATGTCTCCATTTTCTCTATTTTATTTTGAAAAGAAATCTCTATTTGGCATTTGCCACACTTTAGATTTCTCTGAAAAGCCAGTTTCAAAAGAACTATATTTTGTTTTTAAACATGTATATTTAAATTTTCATCAGAAGAAATGAAATACTAAGCTCAGATTTTCAACCCCAAACTTCCAGATACCTTTCATACAGTCATATAATATTGCCTAATATTAGCTTTGCACAGTGGCAGTATTGTAGCCAATGAGGTTTATATGAGGCGTGATTACTGCTAATAGAAAAAGAAAAAAAATATTGCCTAATATTAAAACCTCCAAATAAATAACACTTTGAATAGCTGCTTATCTATTTGGAAATATGACTTACTAAAGGTACCCAGATAGAGACTGGCAGTAGTTTGAAAAGGGAACTAGATGTTTTACAGATGAGTGAAAGATGATTGGCTTTGAATCATTCAAGCTGCTATAGAATCAACATGCAACAACTGCTGGACTAGAAAAAAATATATAGTAAAAATATATGTGTAGGCTTCCCATAAAAGTTTAATCATTATGCTGTAATAGCTACGCTTGTGCAAAAGAAATTTTTTTTAATAAAAAAGGTCTGTGAGATCCGAGGCAGTATTAGAGCAATTTTCTGGGTGAGGCAGTGCTAGTGGAATGTGACAGGTGAGTTATTGTTATTCTAATACCTAAGGCAAAGCAGCAACCACACAAAATGATAGACAAATCTGAATATGATCAGCAAGGTGGCATTTGGATGTAATCTTCCTTTATTGTGGAAAAGGCTGCATGGGTATTGTATAGTGAAGGAGTCGTGTGGACAGCTGTAGACAGAAGACTCAGCGGGAGGAAAGATTTCAGGAGATATCTGTGCTTTGCTGGTTAAGGAGTACACTTGGAAATTGGATTTGTAAACAAATTAAAAGCCAAATTTCTTTTTTTAAAGCAGTCTTCAGTGGGTGTTAACAATAATCACTTAACCTTGGCAATTGGAAGCCTTTGAAACAAATAATTAGGGGAAAATGGGGAATGTGGACTACATTTTAATTTTGGCTCTTGTTTTGATAATCCTTAGTGTTTCTGTCATGAATATGTGAGCCAAGTGGCCATTTTAGATCCCCGGATGGGAAAATATTGCCTCCCCTGAGGATTCCAGCCACTTTTTGCTGTCTTAAACTGTGATCACCACCTCTAATTAAAAGCCTTAATAGTATCTGGGCCCTAACAATACAAAGGAGACCACAACCTACTGAAAGGGTGCATTTTATTAAGTGACAGAAACTCTTAGAAATTTGAGCCTGCAGAAACTGCATGCATGATCTTTAATGGATTTTTAAAGATGACAAGAAAGGAAATGGGAAAGTAAAGCAATGGAAGGCACGGATTCCCTGAAGGAGCATTCTGAAGTAAATCAGTGCAACCGAAGAAGTGAACTCCCAGGGCCTGGGGATATCTCCCAGGTTTTTCAGCTGGACACTTATGGCCTGTTGGGTCCCTGAACACCTCTGCTCTGGGCAGACTTTGACAGAACAAGTCACAGAAAGATGAACGACAGCACCTGAAGTGCTGTTTGCAGGGCAGAAAATTGCTCCCTTTGCACGCTGGGCTGCCTTTGCTCTCTGTCACATGACTTATTACAGTCTCCCTACATAACAGTGCCATTTATGTATGTTAACTTGTCGAGTAGTAATGGTATTCTTTGCCTCCTTTTTCTCTGCTGCTCAGCCAATTAAAAACAAAGGAAGCAAATGAGGTCAGCACTCGTAAAATCTGACTCTATAGGTGACAGACACTCCGAGACCAAATAGCCTTGGATGCTGTTACAGTGCAAGTAAACCATGAACAAGGAAACATCCCTGCTTCCCAGGGCTTTTACTTATATATTTATTTTTTCAGGTGAGAAGCTGATTTCAGGTTTTTTTCTTTTAATCAACCTAAATAAGGTACATCTTTTAAGGAGTTGGTTAATGCTGCTAATACAATTATGTGTCTCATATGGAAAAAAGGATATAAATGAGAGGTTGTCTTTAATCTTCTAGTACAAAGACCAACATTTAACCACAAAGTAGAATTTTATCTCCAGAAGCTCTTAAAATAGCCCCATCAGCGTCACACAATTACAATAAGTGCTTTTGAAATGCTCCACACACAGGTATACAGGAATACCACATCCTATTTTCTGATCCCAGCCTTGTGAGTACAGTGATTTTTGAAAAGCTAATTAGAAGAACCTTCTTGCTTCCTTTAGGTGTGATTTAAATAACACACTGGTTCTTATTCCATGTCCCTCGGCTTGGCTTCTGCGGTACTATCCTATACATCTTGGCGTGTAAGACAATCCCTTAGGGAGAGAAACTGCTCTCAAAATCAGAGGTGACTTACACGATGCCCTGGCTTTACTGCTATAGCTCGGTTGCTAGGCCTGATGCCGGCAATAGCCCCAGAGCCCTTCCCACCCTGAGGTCTCCTCAGCGTGCTGTAAGCTGCTCCACGGAGGGGTTAGTGTGGAGGGAGGTGGTCAGTACATGTTGTCCTGTATCAGCTGCTGAAGGGGATGCAGCAAGGGAGACTACAAGTTGACCTAATTACTTATATTTTCTTCATAGACCTTGACTTGGAAGACACAGATCTTCAACTTGAAGATACAGATAACACCTACTCTAAACTTGACTCCGATTGCACAGATATCTCCAGAAAAAAACAAAAAACAACCCTGGAATAGAGGATCATCAGGCCTCTTTGGAGTTGAATACCACACAGGGCAATAACAGGGCCCAACAACGGCCAGGGAGAGACAGGATTCTGAGATAACACCTGGCTTTCTGCCTCAAATTGTGCTTGTCCTTTGACCACTCACACTCAGGAAGAGTGAGATGTAGCCTGCTTTTCATCCATCAGGGGAGGGATGTCTCTATTATTAAATTTCTGGGTTGTACCCTATGTAACATATTTACCAGTGTGGCAATAGATTGCCTTCTGTCTTCTTCTTATTTTATTCTCTAAAGATTTAGCCTCTAACTAGATTGATTATAAAATCTTTAAAGGGAGGACTAATTGTATAGTGCTCTTGAATTCTCACTTTTAATCATACTTCACCTATTCTGGGCACACAGAGTGTACTTCACAAATCACTGATGGATCTGTGGGCACTTCACACATCATACTCATGTAAATAAAAATATGTACAACCTCTGCTCTGGTGGTTAACACATATGTTTGCAAGTAACAGAAACCAGGACAACTCTTGTACTTTTAAATGACAGATTCATAATTCAAAAAAATCTTAGTCAATAGAGTGCTGAAATGAACTAATGGCATAGCAAAAAATTCTGAGACAGCATTGCTTAATATCTCAGAGGCACCTCAAATTTACATTCATTCTTTTAGCAAACATTTAGTGAGCATCTACTATATCCTGGGGACTATTCTATGGGCTAGAATTACAACATGTAACAAGACACATATGATTCCACTCTCATGGAGCTTACTTTCTATGGCCCAAACAGTTTTGCTATATCCCCAGATCATAGAATAGATCCCAGAATATGGTTTGATGCTCAGTAAATGTTTTCCCCCGTGCCTCTCTTCTGGGTAAGCTTCTTGAATTCCTTGAAGTCCCTTCAACATCCTGACCACTCTAAAAACATTACTCTAAATACAAATGTTTGCCTTTGTTCTTGGCCGAGATAAGGTGACTGGGATTTCAGGCCATGGCAACATTAACCAAAGGCACAGGGGTATAAAAACTCATGGGTGTTAAAAGAAAAGGAAGTGACCCAGTACTTTTATAGCAGTAATTCTAACCCTGGCTGTGAATTGGACTCACCTGGGGAACTTTAAAAAAATATATACTTCTGTCTGTGTTCTGTGGCCAAAATTTCCCAGTTGATTTCATACTGGGCTCAAGTTTGGTGTTTGCTAAAACTCCACCTACAAGTGGGTCTCACATGCAGCCAGAGGTGAGAACTCTTACGCTAGAATAGAGCATGGTGGCAGGGAGATGAGCCTGGAAAAGCATATCAGAGTCACATTGTGAGAGCCTTGAATAACATGCTAATGAGCTTTGAATTAATTCTGTAATAAAAGGGGGGTTTTAAAAATCATTTGAAAACACACAAGTGACATGATTAGATCTGTCTTGGAAAGAACTCTGGTGACAGGATGTAGGGTAAACTTAGTGAGAGAATTAAGCCTAAACAGAGGTTGTGGCAACATAGCTAGGAGGCCAAAATGGTTTTTGAGAAACACTGGTAGAGAGAATTTGAATCATATGGTGATCCTGAGTGCAGAGGTTTGAGAGACTAGGAATCAAAATTGATACTAGGTTTCTAATGCAAATGGTTGGTTAAGAGAAAGACACAGTTAACTGAGGGCAGGGATTCTCACCAAGCATGTGCAGTCTGGGGTGGCTGACAACTCAGTGGGAATGTCACAGAAAATATTAAAGCTCTAAAGAGGAGGACTGGACTAAATAATGTGTTCTTTAAGAACACTTTCAAGTTTGAAATTCTATGGCTCTATTGCATAAGGTTATTAACTCATTAAAGATATGGTTTGTATTTTTATCTTTATATTCTCCACAATGCACTTTGTAGGGGACTTAACATATCTGATGGATGAAGGAATATAAAATTAAAAACACACTTTCAAAAGGATTCCCAACGTGTAGGACCGTTTGTTTCCATCCTACTGTCCTACTTTGATTTATTTCACATCGATCTGAACCATGTCCATATTTCTAGAAAACACTATTGCTTTCATAATCCAGTGCAGAAACCTGACTGGGCTTGTTTTCCCCATCTATGAAATTGAGCCCTTAATAATAATAACAACAACAACAACAATAATAACAATGACACCTTCATTACAAGGTAATGTGAGTACATCGTCATCACCCAAAGGGTATGAAGGTCAGGGGACACAGGGGAGCCCACACCATTGTTGGCGATGTGGGCATGACCACACAGTGCTGTGCCACCGGACAAGCTCAGATGTCTGGTGTTTGCTGCCCTGAATGTACAGTCAGTAACCTAGTGGGCCAAGTTAATATTAGCTTGCACTGGGTATATGAGGGTATTTTGTTGCTGTTTGGAGAAATGACCAGTTTACTTGGTTATATTGACAGCTCTACTGTAAAATTTGCTGGCATTAAAGGTCAAAAAGACCCAGTTTTCCTCTGGTTGCTGCTACCCAAAAGAGAATAAATCTGGGAGCTGATTCACTTCTCTGACAATAATTTATGAATCATGCATTGACTGTGTTTGAATTGAGAAAGGCTTTCATATCCTTTCCATTAGCTCAGATTAAGTTTTCATATAGATGCTGGGAAGCATGCTAGCAATATCCTTAGCT